ACAACGAAGTCAGAAAGGACAGAAAAGGATAGAGGACAGAGGGAACGAGGGAAGGACACAAAGGAGTGAAAGGAAGGATGTAAAACACGTCTGTGTCAACATTTACTCAGATAAAAGTAGAAAGTAGCCTGTAAAACATTTTTATTTAACATATAGAAACTTTCCCTTACTGATAATGGAGGAAACTGCCATTTGTCCCTTTTTGTCTAACTCGATGACCGTTCATCTGATCCACTTTAAACTTGGCAGGTTTCTCTCTGGGGACGAGGGTGAGCTCACTACCATATTTGAGGTCGTTCGGATGAGGAGTTTCTCATTTTTGCTAAAAGTTTCTCATGTGACCGTTATCTGTACTAGAAATTCTATTTAATGCTTTGCCAAGCCTCTTAACATCCAAGATTCACCTCATTTCACCTTCAGTCATCTTAAACTGACCTAACTCTAGCTAACCTCAACAACAAGATCTTGAAGCAGTGTTTTAAAAAAAAAAAAAAAAAAAAAAACAAAGGCTGGCCGAACAATTGTTTTATAAAATTTTGTCTGTCTGATGTAAAACTCAAACACGTATCTCACAAAGATATTTGGGAATATTTAATTCATAACGTGTGTGTTAGCTTCCTGGATGAGCGATTCTGCAGGTTCTGCACGTCAGCAAGTGTCTTTTTAGCCGACCTCTTTTTGAAACAGGAACTTTGCGTTTGTCTGCATGTGACACGTTTATGGGTCGTCCGGATACTGTAGCTACAAAAACCTGGCCTTAGTCTACAGCTTAGTCTACGCAACAGCAAATCGAGACGAGATCAGTTATGAATATTTAATCTTATTCCTCAGAACAGCTTTAAAAGAATAAAGCGGAAAAATTGATAAAACAGCTACAGACCAGACTGTAAAGCTGAATGAATAATTTAACCAGATACTGTTAAAGATTAACAGGAGGAATAAACAGCAACAAATATTTTAAACCCAAAAAAAGGAGAGCTGCACATGTTTGCAGGGAGTGTCACGCACTAACACAAAATACTGCATGTGCGCATTTCCCCATAGACAAGTTACAACAATGAGCGATTCGGCTGATTGATCGTGAATATGCAATAACATTACAAGACCGTCCGGTTTACAGAAACGACACAAGAGCACTAAGAGAGCGTGAATGCGAGGGCCGATGTCAGCATCGGTAAAATGGAAATCTAGTGTAGCACGTTAATCTTTTTGTGTCTTATAATGGTGTATACCCTTGTGTGTCCTCGGGTCAAAAATGACCCCAGGTGTATGGCAAACAAGTGTACAGGTTAACAAAAGAATCCGATCAAAGAAAGCGTTTATGCCGATCAATGGCTGATGTATTGATTTAAAGTTTCGAGATGATCCAATAGAAACTAAAGCTGTTTCCTAATTCATGTGAACCATGAAACTTTATTTTATTATTATTACCTATATGATTGAAGCAGAATTGGCTAAAATCCTTCTATAAACTGTAAAAACTTGAGATTTTATTATCTGTTCTTGCAGTTTGCAAAATCGCCTCCCGAGGTCTTGTTGTGAAGTTTGAAGATGATCCATAAAACATTATGGGTAATATAAAGTTTTATGTTGGCCTTGACCAGATTTACACCTAAATTAAATCTGCTCGAGCTGTTATTGATAGCTCATAGAAAATTTAACCGTGATATCTTGAAAACTGTGGATGTTAGACTGTGAACGAACAAACGAGCAGACAGAAGTGATTGCATGGCCCCTCCCTTCTTGTGGAGAAAACAACCTTTAGGAAAATCAGGTCTTTACAGTTTTTAAGGTTCGGCTTCAACACTGATCACATGTCCGCCTGATGGGGACGTCTCAGAGGTGCAACGTGTGCATAAAGTGCTGATTGCACATCATAAATCAGAGTCAGCGACTAAACACAGGAATGATGCGTTCAGACCAAACGCGATGGAGCGTGTGTGCAGCGCGTTTACCTCGTGTTCTGATATGAAATGCTACACCGTGATTTGCATGCAAGTTACAATAATCAGCTGAAGGTGCACAAAGTCACCAGGTTTACACACAGAGTGAAACAAACTAAATGTGGAGACGTCATCTGAAATTTTAATGCATCCTACAAAATAAACCGTTTATGGAGGTGACAGGTTTGTTTTTTTTGTTTTCTTAGGACAAATGAATGTAATTTAGCTTTCTCTGCTGACTCGCTGAACAACATTTGGTTTCGTGGTCTTTTTGACAGTCTTCTTAGACTCGCACATTCCCTTTTTAAGCTATTGTTTGCCATTTTCTCTCGTTTCCTGATTGCAAAAGTCAGAAGAAAGAAAGTTAGCCTAAAAGGGAGAGGAGCTAAACCAGGGAGTGTGACAAGGACCAGTATAAGGCAAAGAAGGATAATTTTGAGCAGTGAGTCACACAAAGCTACTCTAGCAGTTAAAATGTTAAAATGAGCTGGAAATAAAAACCTAACAGGTCCTGCTTAGAGTGTCTCTGGAATGCTTTTTTTCATTAACAGTCATGTTACTAATTAACCTAATCAGCTCTGAGATGTTCTACCTGGTGTTTTTAATCATTACACAGCTTTTACAGTCTTCTGTTGAACCCTGTGGCTTCCATTAAACAGTTGTTAACACACAGTCGTCTCTCAAAGACGAAGGCAATAACTGAGGCTGCTGACAAGGCTGAAAAAGCGCCAGAATGATCCTTTAACTTTGGTTTCAGATGTGAAGCAGGTGACCTTTACAGAGTCACATGACGACAGTCTGCAATGTGAGAGCTGAACTTCTTCTCTTCGCTCTCTGTGATTTAAGCCTGACCTCCTCCTCTTCCTCCTCCTCTCTGCGAACATTCAGACCTTTCCCGTCTCTCCTCCTCTCCGTCCAGCTCAGACTGGTCGACTGTGTGAACGAGACCTTTGCAGGTGAAAGGATCCAACTTTTTTCTCCTTTCTTTCTCTGCTGCTAAAGTTCAGCTTTGACAGAACAAACAGAGGTGATGAATCCACCTGCTGACACCTCCTCTACTCCCAAAAAGCTTCATTTGAATTAAATAGTTTTTAATTAAACTGGGAGAAAAACGCCTAAACCACATCTGTAAGTGTCCAACGAGCCCAAAAGAATTCAGTTTGGAGTGACTTAAAAATAAAGTAATCAATTGTAATCAATTTATAAATCTATGATCAAACAAAACAGAAAACAAAGCTTTTGTGACGTTTTTGTGACTTTATTGATATACGTTTAGATTATTGATTAATGCGTCTAAAATTTGAGGATTTGCTGAATTTTAAAGCGCCTGAGCTCAAAGCAACTAGATTTCTTTTAAGATTATCGACAGACAGTCCTGGTATTTAAATACCAGTGCAGATGTGTAACTGTAACCACCACTGGATGTGAGGCTTGGAGATTCCTGGGTTTGTCCATGTTTTTGAATCATTTCTCCTGTGATGCTAATTCCTTTCTTTTGAAATAAAGTTCCTTTGAATATAAGTCTTGCTTTCCTACATTTCACTGAGTCTCTTCAAACTGGAGAGAAGGTGACAACGTGCACGCAGGCGTCCATGCCCAGCCTCACGTTTACAATGTACCCTGCAGCAGCGTGCAGGAGCATCAGGCTCAATAAAAGTCAGTTAACTCGAGACACACACACACACACACACACACACACACACACACACACACACACACACACACACACACACAGAGTTGTATTATATATGGTAAAAGGCATCACGTGCAGTAACAGTATCTCCCTCTATGCCTGCTGTGGTTCTTTTCTCTCACACTCACACACACACACACACACACACGTTACTGTGCTGGAAGCTGATCGGCTGAACCTGCTGCTGTCACTCTGATCAATAACACACATGTCGCTGCCACCATCCAAACACATGCAGCCAATTATATCACTGAGAAACTGAGTCCAAGCCTCTCTACAACAAACCACGCCCCCTGGTATTTTAGCTCCTCCTCCATCAGCTACAAATTTAATTATTCAGTAAAATAATCTGAGATTCAAACAGCTGGTTTGACTGACATAAGGAAAAGTTCGGAAAGGAAAAGTTTATTTTTTTTATTTTTGATGTTTTTCAGCTCCAGCGCCACGCCACAGTTAGACTGAACTTCCTGTTCTGTCCTGGACTCACCTGAAGGTGAACTGAAACCTACACTGACCTGTGAGGAGGATAAAATTCTGGATGTTCTCTGACATCAGCACAAACACAGAGGAGGAGTCATTTTGGGGAGTGGGATAATGCTGGCCCACCTCATTTCTAAAGTGAAAAGACTTTAAAGCTTTCATTTTTCTCTTAAGCTATTATTTATCTTCTTTGTACAGCTTCAAACATGCAGCATGTGTGTTTTAATCCCTAAAAAATGTCTGGTGGTGTCCAGCCTTCGAATGTGAACTTTTAAAAGTGGAAAATCTTCACACCCATGTACACAAACGTGAAGCTGTGGAAAAGATCTGCTTATAAAATTAAAATAAGCGTTCCCGTTCACATCCAAGAGCACGAAAACTGGACAGTTTGTATCCACAAGCACAAATCTAAGAATCTGTGCTTGTGGATACCAGTAAAAAAGTATCTGTCTCACTGGTTGTCTCACAGCAATCTTGCAGAAACCATTAGGTAAAGTGAGGATGTGCACATGCCCCGTACAGGTGTGTGTGTGTGGTGCATCTCACCTCCTCCGTTCTTGTAGCACAGGTAGGGGAACCGCCACACGTTTCCGAGTCCTACAGCAAAGCCCACGCAAGACATGATGAAGTCCATCTGTCGCGTCCAGGTTTCCCGCTCCTGGTAACCAGGCCCCGCTCCGTTGACCACACCACCTTTTTTGTCCTGTCCAACACAAGCAGTGCCCACCACTCCACCAGCGACGCCTGTCCCCGCCACTGTCAGCGGGACGAGGCTGCCATTAGCGGCCGCAGGGGCATAACCACTGCCACCGCCCCCATTAGAGAGACTTATGGGGCTCTTTTTGGTCTCCTCCAGGAGAACCAGAGAGCAGGAGGAGGCTGGAAGAGCCTGCTTCTCCATCATTCACAGAATGGGAACCAGTCAGGAAGTGCTCCAAATAGTCAGCCTCTGTATCCCCTTTAATTCCTGCAGGTTTTGTCTGCAATATCTCTTATTTCTGTTCAGGTGTTTCCCCACAGTTCCCACTCAGGCTAGCAGTCAGACCAGTAGGAATAGTCAGCAATGGTTCCCACTTAGAATCCCTTTATTTTCTTCAGATTTCAGTCTTTTTAAATCACTCCTAAACCCAGACACCAGTTAGATACCAGAAGGAATAATCAGCTGTGATTCCCACTTTAGAGTGTTTTAATTCCTGCAGATTATAATCCTTAAAGTCAGTTTCTCAGTCCAAAAAGCAGTCAGATACCAGTCAGCAAAGGCTGGGTGGTGTTTTCCCTTTAATTTGGCTTTTTGTATTTTTAGAAGTCCCCCAAAACTCAAGTCCAAGCAACCAGTCAGGTACCACATAAACCAGTAAAACACCAGTCCCCCTCAGCGTGCTTTTATTTTGAAGGTTTTGTCTCTTTAAAGACTGAGTTATTCTTCTCCTTTTAGTCTCACAGTCTCAGTTTTCCACACCGCGTGTTCACCTCCTCTCAGACTCCCACTAAACCAGCCAGCTGCCAGTTACAGACCAACAGTCACTCAGAGACAGCGGGTCAGGACCTTTATCCTCCGCCCCTCTCACTCTTCCTCACTCACAACCAGAAGAAACGTGATTCTTCCTCTGTGCCGCCGAGGATCCAGACTGTGGTCTTTTATTTATGACGCCAGCTCTTTTTCAGATGATTTAATAATGTTTTTATTTTATTTTAATTTTTTTTTAAAAAGAGGTCACAAATCCAGAAAGTCTATTGTTTAAAAAAAATGTGTGGGGGGGGGGGTTCTCGAATTACAGGGGTTTAATTTGAAAAATAAAATAAGAATAGAAATAAAAGAAAGGGAAGTACACCGACGATCGGACAGCGACCTCAAAAACAATCCACGAAACACTTGAATGTGAGTCTGAAGAATCGCATGGGAACAGAGAGTCACGGAGGAGACGGCGGCCTGCTGGAAGACAGAGAGGACGGCGGAACCGAGAACAGTCCTATTATTCCCCTAAAAAAATAATCAAAAAAGAAAAAAGAACCGGAGCTGCTCACGACTTCAGTCCCGGCGGCGATGCAGACTGTGGAGGAATTGCAGCAGCAGCTCCATCCGAGGAGGAAGAGCGCGTCCGGACCGAGGAGAGTGCGTCCCGCTGCGCAGAGCTGTCAGAGATCCCGGCGGAGTCGGTATTTAAAGTGTCAGTCCGTCGGGGACCAGCGGCTTTAAAAGGAGAAGCTGCCGCTCTGTGTGACGTCACGACAAATACCACGCCCCCCGATTGCCATTCCTCCCCTCTCCATCTCTACCTCCCTCTCTCTCTGACTTTCCTCCTTGTCCCCTCGCTCTTCTCCCCCTGTGCCCTCTCTTCTTCCCTCCTTCCTTCCTTTCCTCTTATCCTCCCCTTCTCTTTCACTTCTTCTTTTTAACTCCTTCCTTCCCTTCATATCTTTCTCACCTCTTCTCTTCCTTCCCCGTTGCTTTTCTCCCTCTTCTATTTACCCTCTGTGTCTCGCATCATTTTAACCATGTAACTGTGTTCCTGGAAGAGTCTCTCAGATTAATTCACATCCCAGACGCCACATTTCTCGTGAAGATTGAGTGATCTGTGGCTTAACCTGAAGCTGTCAGCACCAAACCTGCAGCTGGAAAAAGCTTCAGGGAGGAGAAACTAGTGCAAAGGCTTGAAGTTCTCCTGCATGACCGAACCACACCCCATCAATATAATTCACTCACTATAAACACAAGTATGGAAAACTGAATTAGTGACCTACGTTTTTAATATTAAAAAGATAACTGCTTTTAGAAAATAATTATTTTGAGCAAATGTTTCTCACTAGTTAGGACATGATGACCAACCTTCTAGTAGATGACCAACAGTCATTTATGGGGATAAAATGCATTTTGAGGCTCAAAATGTGGTTGTCAGGGTTACAATTAGGTTAAGTTTAGGAGGGTTAGAATTAGGCATTCATTTTCATTGGAAAACTGTGCTACTGTTAGCCCAAAACAAAGGAAGAGGAAAGGGGGAAGTCATGTTAGAAGGCAGCGAGAGAGAAGAAAGGGTGGTGGAGGAGATCTAAATCTAAGGACTATGAGTGGTATAAGAGAGGAAGAAGGTGCACCCAGGTGGAGTATATCTTATGCAGAGTGTGCGGTCTGAAAGTGATAGGAGACTGTAAGGTGGTGGCATCTGTAGTCAAAGTTCTTGAGGCTGAGATGGTTCAGACATGTGCAGAGGGGGAGAGTGGAGGCAGACAGGACAGTATCTGTGTCTGCAGACTCGACCTTAAATATCCATGTAGCCACTATTGCTGTCTCTGCATTTTGAAGCCTCAACATTAGCATTTTAGCTTTGACAGTGTCAGATTTACAGCCTGACGCGTCGGCTTGTTTTTAGCAACGTTTTCACATGTGGACAGGTGACAATTTAACGGAAAACCCTCAGCCTGTTAGGATCCGAGTGAGCTTCTGGTGTTTCTCCGCTGCCTGCCGGTGTTTACCTGTGTCAGCCTTCTCAGTTCCTCACCTTACCTTACTCACCTGACATCACTGAGGCACTTTAGGAGACCAGCACTGCCATCATTTCTCCACCAGTCAGTCAGCTGGTGATAACCAGGCCTCAGCGCTTCTTGTGCTCTCGCTTATGCTTTGCACCACCGCTTTGCTCACCTGCAGCTTAATTACCTGGACGCTGGTCATATTGGCAAGATTCTCCTCACGTCTCTGCAGTCTAATCCTCGGAATCAAAACTACATACCATTTTCCCCCGCCTGTCCGTCCTGTGGATCATCAGGAAGATAAGGCTGGCACCTCATTCACCCACTCACCTTTCAGACACTCATTTAGTTCTCCTCCCCAAGGCTTCATGACCTCTACCTCCACCAGTGAGCCCCCGAGATCAATATTCCTCTCACCTCCTGGTATTCACTCCTTCCTCCCAAGTCTAACTACACTCGCCCTCTGTTTGAGTGCCTTCATTGCTATCTTTGTGTTTATTATAAACTTGTAAATCACTGTTTCTGTTTGGTGTCTTTGCTTGGGTCCACTCCTATGTACTGGCCTCTGGGCCCCTTTGACAGATCTGACTTTTACAGTGAGGGTATCTGGTGGCTCAGTTACACTGTGGGGGAGGTGTGGGGCATTTTCCAGGTATGGTGTGGCACAGACATAGGACCTCTGGGGGTGTCCTGTGGCATCTGGCATTGTAATGCTGGCAGTAGATCCTTTGGAAGGGGTCTCAAAGGTAGTGTTTCTGCAGTAACCCAACAGACCACCAGGGGGCTGCAGAGCCCCAATAAAAGTTTAGAGGCACAGAAGGTGAATAAATACATCTGAGGAGAGGGAAGGGTAAACTTGTAAGAAACACTTCAGAAATGTCATCATGTGGCAGGAGTGCGCAGGCAGTTCCTGGAGTTTGAAGGAACTGACACCACCGACTCACCCCCACGCTTGCATGACATAAATCTAACAGAACACCTCCGGGACATTATGTTTCATTCCAACACTGCCAGGCTGCAAATGTTATATTTGTACTTTATCTGTCCTGAACGTCTTGCATCTGCCCCTGCCACTAATAATAAAAATACTAAAACGCTAAAAGTAAACTGAAAAGAAAAGAAACACTCTGGAATGTAACTGCAACTAAACCCAACTCAAAGTTAAAAATGTAACAGCTTTGGTCCCAACCAACTTTTCATTCATTAAAACTGTACAAGCTGAGATCAAAATCTCAGGAAATAAACGGGAACTGGGATGTGCACTGCTGCATGCGGATCGAGAGGAGCGGATTGTTTGTTCATTCGTTTGTTTTATGTAAAAGAAAAAAACGCTGGATGGAAAATATTAGCTCCACCACGAACAGGTGATAAATAAGTGCTTTCTCATTTTACTTCAGAGTGAGAAGCTCTGAAGCTGAACTTGGAGCTTCTGAGCAGCTCCAGCATGTTTTCCTGTGGATGCTTGTGATTCAGAGAAACGGCGCCGCCTGTTAGTGGTCTGAACAGCTCTGACTAACACTTGAAACCGTGTGAGGTTGCTGTGAAAATCACCTGATGTTATGAAAGAACTTGGTGAAACCCTGAGGAGAAATGAACGACGTCATAGCTGTCAGAAAGTGACAGACTGGAGGCCAACAGCTGGGTTTTCTGAGGAAGACCCTGAAGCATCCTTCATGAGAGGAAATGAGAGGAGACCATCACGCTGTTCAGGACACGACCTTCTGACTTGAAACTTGTGGCAGGCTGTTCTATGTGATATACTTGGACACTTAATTAGGCACACCTTGCTGGTACCGGCTTGACCCCCTTTTCTCTTCACATCTACAATCATTCGCACAGATTCCACAAGGTGTTGCTTCTCTGTCCATTTCACCTCTCACAAACACGTGAAATGGACTCGTATTTTCCACTGGTGGTTCACGAGAAGAACAGGAGGTGAAGGACCTACGATTAGTATTTGTAGTCCATCCAGTTTCTGCAGCAGATCCAAGTTAACAGGATCCATCGTCACCCCAGTCTCGTTCTTCAGCACTAAGCTTCTAACTGCTTATTAAGTCCCTTTTACAGTTTTCCTTTTCAACACAGGAGAATGTTTGATTGAAACCCTGACAGGTGACTTTTGCTCATTAGTAACACCTGCTGTGTGTGACAAATATGAAGGTCATATTTTCACATGTTCTGACAAACAGCAACCGTAACTCTGCTGTAGTTTCAAGTAAAAACACGGTGAGAGAGGCCTCAACTTGAACGTGATGCAAGTTTTATTTCAAAGCACCGTTTATCCTCAGGCTACGTGAGCAGGACTGTGACATCTGTAACTTACTGATTGATGAGGTTAAAATACTGAGGAGACGCTACAGGAAACAACTTGAAGCTGAGTTTAATCAAATATCTGCTCTGAACCTAAGAGAGGGTTCTCTGAGGAACCTCTAACGGCTCTGTTTAGAGGAAAAGTTTCTGTAGGAATCGTATAAAAACTTTTTCTAGAAGATCACTGCGGGCCTGCATTACACTTTATTTTATTTTTTAACACGTTGTGTACTTCTAGCTGGGTATAATGTAACATGCACTCACCAGCCACTTTTTCCAAGGTGCTGGAAACATTGATTGTGATCCACATTGGCATGATAGCGTCACACAGATGCTGCAGATTTATCAGCTGCACATTTCTGGTGTGAATCTCCTGCTCCTGCACGTACCAAAGGTAAGAGAATCAGGTGCCTAATAAATAAAAAGACAATAAAAGAAACAGTTAAAAATCCATTTTAACCACGAAAAAAAAGGTTTTAACAGCTTTTCACAAGACTGCAATGAACACCCAGAAAGCAGTTTGATCTGAGCTGATCCTGCTTGAAGCAGGCGCCACAGTGTAGCTGGTTACATATTCACTTGGCAAGCGAAAGGTTGCTGGTTTAATTCCAGCCGGAGTCTCCAGAGTGAGTAAAGCCGTTCAGGGTAAAACATGCGGTGCACTTGTCAGGAGGCCAAAGGTGAGCAAATATCCTGCTGGAAGCCGCCATCAGAAGATGGGTACACCGTGGTCATGAAAACAGTAACAACATCTATCACTACCAATAATTATGTCAGAAATTCAGTGCAATTCCAAACGAACCAGAGGCAGGTTGGAGCCAATGGATGCCAATGTGGATCACAATCAATGTTTCCAGCACCTTGGAAAAAGTGGCTGGTGAGTGCATGTTACATTATACCCAGCTAGAAGTACACAACGTGCTTCTGACC